GGCGAGCTTTGGGGCCGGGAGGGGTAGCTTTGTACAGAGCTGGGAGAGGTAGCTTTGGGGCCCAGAGGGGTAGCTTTGTGCGGAGCTGGGAGGGGTAGCTTTGGGGCCCAGAGGGGTAGCTTTGTGCGGAGCTGGGAGGGGTAACTTTGGGGCCCGGAGGGGTAGCTTTGTGCAGAGCTGGGAGGGAAAGCTTTGGGGCCCGGAGGGGTAGCTTTGTGCGGAGCTGGGAGGGGTAACTTTGGGGCCCGGAGGGGTAACTTTGGGGCCCGGAGGGGTAGCTTTGTGCAGAGCTGAGGGGCAGAAGAGCCAGAGCTGAGTGTGACCCGTTCATGGTGTGGTCTGTGGGTGGGTTTGAATAGTTTGTTAGCAAACCCGTCCTGGTGACTGGGGGAGGTGCTGATAGCCATGAGGAGGCCTGTGTGGAGATCCTGAAGGGAAACAGAGGCACAAGGGGGAGGGGGTACTCCCGGAGGGGTAGCTTTGTGCAGAGCTGAGGGGCAGAAGAGCCAGAGCTGAGTGTGACCCGTTCATGGTGTGGTCTGTGGGTGGGTTTGAATAGTTTGTTAGCAAACCCGTCCTGGTGACTGGGGGAGGTGCTGATAGCCATGAGGAGGCCTGTGTGGAGATCCTGAAGGGAAACAGAGGCACAAGGGGGAGGGGGTACTCAATAGGCAGTGGCCATGATATCAGTATACGTGCACATGCGTGCACACACACACACAAGCTAGCACTCCCTTGCCCTACGCTGCCTTGCACTAGCAAACACACAACCCCCTCTTGTGCACGCCCCTCTGTGCACACTCACACAGGTCAGGCACAGCTGCTGGGCCGATGGCCAGCCCCCCCCTTCTGTGGGCCAGTGACCTGAGGCCCAGAGGACGGTGCCCGGTGGAATCTGTCCCTCTGGGCGTTCCCCCGAGGCTGCTGGCCCTGGGAACAGACAAAACACCATCTGCCGCCGCCGGGCTGAGCAGCCCCATGCAGAGCAGCAGCTGCTGAGGGCAAAGGAAG